TTTGCGTGTGCATGTGCCTGAGTACACCTGTAATTCCTGATTACATGCCAAAATAGTCAGAAAGCTTTTTTTTTTGTGTGTGTGAGATAGTGAGAAGTATGGCTTCTCACTAGCAAAGACCCAGATTTACTACAACATGATCACAAAGAAAGAGATGTTTGACTTGTCAGTTACAGCTTCTTCATTTATGAGAACATTTAATAAGTTTTTTGGCCAGAAGTTTCTATGAAGTAATATTTTCTGAAAATAGTAACCCTTGGTTCTTGCGGTGAGGAGCGTTTTAAATCCGAATACTGCAAGGTGCTTTACAGAGGTGGGTCTCAGTTTGAAAGGAGAGGGAAGCCCTGGCTTGGTGAGTTGCCCCAGGCAGTATTTGAAGCCAGTGGCAGAGCTAGGTTTATTATTAAGACTTACTGGTTTCTTGTGCTATCATAGCACCCACGCACAGACCAGGACTCCAATGCACCAGTTTTTCAGAGTACAAACTTCACCTCTGCCTAGGCACTCCTGGAGAGCTGAGAGAAAGGAGAGATTGCCTGCTGTTGCCTAGAAAAGCAGCATCCAAGCAGTTTTAAGCACACTTTAGAAAGTCTTCACTTTGCTGGCGCTGAATGGCCTTAATCACAAGGGTGCTGCATGGCAGAGGGGTGGCTCAGGAGGACAGAACCTGCCTGGTGGCCTCTGGACCACAGCCTGGAGCTGGGATGTGCCTGATTCCAGAGCAACCTCTTGGAAAGGATTTTTTTTTTTTTACATTGGGAGTCAGAGCAGCATCTGGATGGCCCTACATCAGAGCTGTCCTTTCACGTACATCCTTCCTGCAGGCTGGGGCTGAGTGCTCCTTGTCACTAACAGGCATGTTGCTGTGTTTTATACCCTGCCTTGCCACAGGGAAATCAAGGTGATGATAGCTTGGGAAAGAGGTAAATATGGGGAGATTTTACCTTAGTAGCGTAGGTGATTTGCCCCACTGTGTCTGCTCCCTCACAGAAACCTTCACAACAAAACAGAACAATATGCTAGGAGGATAAAAAGAAGCATCTGTGTGCTTTTAGTACCACAAACCAGACAGAAAGTTAAGACTTGTTCTTTAGCTGTTTTTAGATAGAAGGGGCATTTTGCAGTAAAAGCCCGCTGTTTAAACAGGAAAATTGAATACTGCCTGACAGCGCTTCTCCTGATGGGATCATACTCTGCACCAGCACACTGCTTCGATCCCATATGGAACAGATGCTGTTATTATTGCTGCTCAGAGGCAGCACTCAGATTAACAATTTCCATGTACAGATACTTCTTTGGCATTACATAACCTGTGTATTTAACACACACTAAATTTTCATTGCAAATTGGCTGCTGTGGGGGTATTCACTTTTTTAAAAAGCTGTTTCCTTCCCAAGACATGTAGTTATACTACAGCCTTTGTTTGATCTGGTTATGAAAGCCATACTAAAAAATGAAGTGAGTATGGGGCTGTGGGATCTCATCGTTTTAAAAAAATAAGAACTAAAATCCCAGGGCTCATTGTTATTTTTCCAAGCTAAATGGTGTGGAATAGTTTTAACCCGTTTCATGTTCATCTTTGGTCACAAGTATAGGAGTAGCAATGTAAGGCTAGGATGCATGTGGCACTGTCACGATGCTGAAAAGATGCATGCAACAGATCATAGAAAGTTCTTTGTAAGGCACCTACTGTAAGCTGAAACAACACCATTGAGATATAATATTCACTCTTATTCATTGGATTAGGGAGAGAAAAGATTAAATCACACTTAAGATATCTGTCTGGCTGCCTCAAAAAGCTTCATTTTCATGCTAAGTGTAGTTTTAAAATGTCATCCCGAAAATGTGTGACATTTTAATGGGCTGATTGCCAGATTCTCAAATCTGCTAATTTGCATATGAATCACAGTGTCAAATATTATGGAAAAAGTATAAGAAACTAGAATTATGAGGGAATGCCTTGCATTCCCCGTGGTTAAACATATGTTGGGAGGATCGTCTCTTAGAAATCTGATGTTACAAAGGCAAATGAGATTAAAAAATGCTGTGGTATACCCATTTATACCAATAGCCGGTTGTGATCGCTTGTGGTCTTTTCTACAGCTGTCTATGAATAGCAGCCTGGATGTTGCCTGTTATTTCAATAAGCTGCTCAGTGTGTTACAGCATCGTGACAGTCACTAGTGCAGCCCTGAGGAAGGGTTGCATTCCCTTCTCCACGTTTCTGATGCAGCTCCAATAAAGTCAGCAGGATTTCACCAATGTCTTCTGATCATCTCTCTCCAGTAAAGAGTTTTCAGGTTGCTCTTAAAAATGATGGAGCCAAAACAAGCATCAAGGGCCATCAATTCTCCAACTCCCATGCACTTCGATTAGAGAAAGCTAAGGAGCCTGCACAGTGCAATTAGCTACTGTACACCGGAGTCCATGACTAGGCTTGTAGGAGTTAAGCACATGCATAAATACTTGTTGGATAAGGGTTTATGGTTAGAGAAAATCCTTCCAACTGAAGCAAAACTTCCTGTCAGGATCTAAGTCTTAAACGGTTTTAGTGGGAGGAGGGCGCACTGGAGTTCCTACAGTGGGTTTTCTCATCTAATGTAACTAGCTCAATGCAGGACTTGGCATATCCTAAGCAATTGTTTATAGCTCCTGCACAGTGCATCTGCTTTGGGAGCTGATTTGTGACAGAAATCTGCTTGAATGGAGATGGTAAATTTGATTTACTTGTGAAAAAAAAGTGAAGAATTCCACAGCAGAACAATCTGGGTCACAACGCACTTTGGATTATAAGATTTAGTACAGAAAAAAGGCCCAAACCACATAATTCAGATCCATCTTTGAAGCATCAAAAGTTTGAAGTTAATCAAAACTGGCATTTAGTTCATCCATTCATGAAGATGTCTGTGTAGCTTGGAGATGGCCCTGTGCTTGGATCTTCCCATCTCCCTTGGGGTCCCCCAGGACTGTTCAAATCCAGGGAACAGACCCTTTTCCAGTTTGCAGCAGAAAGCCCAAAACCACACACACAAAAAGCTGTTTAAAGGAGAAGGCAGCTTGGGCAGAAAGAGGCACCAGCAGAGAGAACTAGCTGTGGGTCTGTCCTGGGTCTCTGGAAATGGGCAAGCAGGAACAGGGTAGAGGGATGGATGTTTCAAGGTAATGTTGATCTCCCTGAGAGACTGGAGAGTAGCTGAAGTAATACAGTTTTGTGCAAAAGAAAGAGACCAAACATGGGAAATGGCATTGGAGGAGAAACAAGAGTTAAGCTCAGAATTAATGTGCAGAAACAACAAGAGAATAAGTCTGAATTTCCAGAGCAGGAGGCTGGGTTTGTTGTTCAGAGGTGAGCTTGGTACTAGACACCTACCAGAGAGGCTGAGCTTCCTAAGGCATGTCCTGGGTCATGGGGGGAAAGCTTGGCCCCCACCTGCTCATTTCTGTCTGAAAAACAAGCTGAGACAACGCATGCAGCTTTGGACTTCACAGAGGCAGAGCACTCAGTGTTACCTTTATTGCTAACGCACCTAGCAAAGCTGATGGGGCAGCCGCAGGAACTGAGCCAAGGAGGACGGGAGCAACATGCCCGATGCTTCGCTGGCTGCATGCCTACAGCTGCTGGGGGGGGAATGCCAGCAAGGCAGGGTGCATGCGAGTCACTGCTCTCAGCAGCTATGCCATGATAGGAACTGATCCTGTTCGCTGAAACCCCCAGGGAGGGCAACCTTTTCCTGGCGGGAGAAACCAGGAGCAGGTGAGCAGAGTGGCCGTGGTTCACCTGTCATGGGCGCAATGAAGGGGGATTTCTTCTGGCCCCCGCTGTGGTGAGGCGGTGCACAGGAGTCAATCACGGTATTGCCTGCTGTGTGTTTGCATGACTGCAACTCCAGTCAGAACTTGGCTCCCAACCTTTACAAAGTCATCAAGGGAAGTGAAGCTCTTTCAGTATTGTGCTTATGATGCAAGTATAAGCACAAAAAATGTTTCTAAAGCTTCTCCTTTAAGGAGAATGGACCCTCCCCTCTCCTTTACAGTCCCTTACCTTGTATTCATTATGAAAGTGTTTGTCTTTAGGAACAGAGACAGTTCTCACATGAACGCATAAGAAAACACGTACAACACCCATTTCTGTAGAAGAATATATTATTTAGCAGATCAGTTTAAAAGTTAAAAAAAAAAATCTGTACATCTTTGAAGGTTTTTCTTGTTGTTGCTTTTTGCATCCACGAGGATAAAAATATGTTTGCACAGTGATTTCAGCTTTGTGCTTCCTTCTTTGCTCATGTTGAAGGATCCCATCATGTCTAGCTGTACCAGGCCACAAAGCGAACCTGCAAACTCACTAAGGTTTCTTCTGGTATCTTCTAGTGTAGAAAAAAAAAAAAATTGTATCCACTATGCTGGGCTTCTGAATGTACTGTGAACACTATAAAATTCAGAGTATAATACAGAGAAATGTGTCATTAGGGCCTACTAGGCAAACAAAAATATATGCCAGGACCCCTGTCAGAATATAAGTATCTGTTAAGCTGTAATTAGCATACTGCTGTACGCATATATATAGTATCTTGACTGAAACAACATTTTCTTTTGGTTTTGGATGCCGGCGGATCATTTTCCAGAAAAGGCTCCTTAGCTAAACTCTGCTTTGTCTCTACAGACTGTGGTCAGTGTGGTCACCAAAAAGGCAAATCTGCTGAAGATTTGAGCCATGCTGCAACCTGTGCAATGTCCGCAGGGAAAGTCCTGCCCAGGGGGCTGCGGTGGGCATGCCAGAGTGAGGGGAGCCTTTGGTGCCCGGTGGCAGCAGCACCTGTGTGAGAAGGCTGCAGGCTGTAGACAAGGCGCCCGGGCAGGCAGGGCATCCATGCCTGCCACCTCTCCACGTACATCGTCCCAGTTGGATTTTGACGTAACCACCACATCTGTTCGGCAAATTTAGTATTTCTCAAAAATGGAGTAACCTTAGGGCTTATGTTTTGCTCAAAGTCTTTTTGGTCTCACTTTTCGGTACTGCCAGTGGTCAAGCTTTCAGTTTTCTTCTTCTGCAACTGAAATGAAGAGCAAAGCAGGATTAATACCGCTGACTCACACAGTGCTGATTTCCACTGCTGCTATGAGTTGAACGCTCATCTCTCTACAAGGCATGTGTGACTTTTCTTGGGAAATAACAGGCAGCAGCATGGTATGTCACAGGCACCGTTTAATGCAAACAGCTCTGGATGTATGTCCTGAGTAAACAGCGCTTGGTGTTTCTCGTCATCTGTCATGCTAGGCTCTAGGATTATTAACTAACTCCTCTTGTTTCAGGATATTTCTGAATTCAGGCAGCTCCAATTTTCCTAAGACCTCTTGTGCCAATACACCATGATTAAAGCTCCATCAGTTTGTATAAAATTTCTGTTTTGACAGCTTCTGTAAACCAGAAGTAAAATCTCAGCTCAACTTGAAAAATGAATAGGACTTAGAAAGTCTGGCAGTCACATTTGAGTTCCTCTTCCCTCCTTTGAGAAATGCTGCACTCTAAACTGAAGAACGTCTAAAAGACTTTCTTATCCTTTATAACTTAGTGCCGTCAAAGCATGTGCTCTTTGATTAACCTGCCTTAGTATTTGTGCCGCTGAGGGGCTTTTCCTCCAAAGCATTTAGGAAGAGGTGGGAGCTACACCAGAAAGCTACTATTCCCCTCATCTGGCCAAGGATGATAAAGTGAATGAACCTTCATTTCCCACATATCAAACAATATCAGCACAACTAGAGCTCCAGGGCACTTCCTGATTTATCTTAGTGACAGAGTGACTGATAGTATCCTGTCTACATGATAAATTTCTTCATGTCAGAAACCCCCTACACCATGATGCCATTTGCGTTGGTTTTGACATCTGCCTTGGCAGGGAAAAGAAGCACTCAAAGAGGCGTGCAAGGAAGGTGTGCAGGCCCAGTGCCGCAGGCTGCAGGGCGCTGCGGGAGCCGGACCAGCACGCTGGCTGCTGCATTGCCGGGGCCTGGCCCTGGTCTCTGCCCTGTCAGGCTCCTGAGGCAACGCAGATGTGGCTGGAGACAGCAAACGTGGTTACATGTATATCCTGCCTCCTCTAAGCCTTACATGTCAAAATGAGAGACACTCTGTAAATGGAGGTCCCCACTCAGCCTGGGCCATAAAATGGCTTCACTGGTTGTATGTTTAATCCTACTGGGTGCTGTGTATTAGAGGGTAAATCTCATAAAATTTCAAGCACATCCCTGATGATAGATATGTGAGTGGAAGTTTCTTCCCAGAAAATAAACTTATATGTTGGTGGTGCAGTGCCTTGAACTACCCAACCCCAGGATGTTTTGCTGCAATCTAGCCCAGGCTAACTCAGGGGAAGGCAGCTCCCTCCAGGCAGAGGTGTTTGCTAACACACTCCCCTCACGTGGTTATCTCTGGGTTTTGTCTCGAGGTCCCTCTCTTGCGAGCAGCTCCCTTCCCACGGCCGTGCTAGTGTGGTATCTGGTCTACTCTGCAAGGGCACACCTTTGTGCCCACTTACTGCTCATGGTACGTGCCTTTCTCCAGCCAGGTATAACGAATGTGTTTCTCATTATTATGATTATGCCGTAGGCATTCCTACTGTTTTGGAATTAAGCTGCTATTAAATTATAATGTTTGACTTAGTCATAACATTTGCTTTACCAAAGAGATATTTAGAGCTTACCTCTTTCATAGCATCATCTATCTGTTTTAATTCCTCATAGCGGTCCCTGGATTCCCAAAGGGGCTGGAGCATCACCTCCTCCACTTCTGGGAACAGCTAGGTGAAAACAAGGGAGAGAATACGAACATTTCCTTTTGTATTCATTAATTTGTACATGCTAGAAAAGGGGTGAAAGACAGGGTGTGAACTGTACATACCCATTTCACTGGCTAACTAAACACCTGTCAGAGCAAACGATGAAGCTCTGCATGCCTCCACTTCTGCTTCTGACCTTGGGCGACTTACCTTTGTCACTGTTTCGAACATGGGGATGAGAACAAACTTCAGGAAGCCGATCTGTGCTGTCGGCTTGGTCACTTTGTCACGATCCATGAACGGTGCCACTGGAAGCCCCTCAGATTTTTCTCGGTCACTCTGGAACAAATCCAGAGTTAACAAATATTAATCTTGGCTTAGAAGCCTGTGAGGACAGTAACGTACCAAGCAGATCACTACCTAAAGAGCAGTAGCCTTCAGATACAGATCTCAGTGGTGTCTGAAGATAGCACAGAATAGCAATATGCTTCCCTCGGGCCAATGTACCCTGCTTTGTTGAGAGCAAGCATCTGAATAGAGAGAACTCTGTTCAGTTACATCTGCACAGTACTGGCATGAGAGTGTTCACCTCCAGGCTTACAGGACAATGAGGCCACCTGGTTCCCTTTGCAAACCCATGGGACTTGTGAGGTAAAATATTTCTGAGCATTCAGAAAGATGGTAATGGCTTTTGCTGCTCTGGAGGAGAAGGAATAGGTCTTTGATTTCCTCATCATACTCCAGAGAGAGATTATTTTCAGGTATTCAACCAGAAATTACATATCCTTCTTTACTAAGGATTAAAACTAGTTCTGGCTAGCTGGGTCAATGGAGGACAGTTCCATCGACTACAATGAGTTTGCCAAGCTACCTACTTGACCACATAACTCACTGTTTCTATGTGGGTTCATGTGCAAGGAGGTCGCAGACTGCGCATGCAAAAAAGATATCCTGTAGCAGACTTTCTCTCTCAATTATTGGGTCTTTCGGCACATAATGCTTTTGCTGGTGGCCAAAACAGCAAGGCACACAGATACTGTAATTTTTTTAAGCAACCAGAAACTGTGTCCAGCTGGGAATCCAGTGAGGAGCAATGGTCTGGGGAGCACAAAGTCTGACTTTGCACACCTCAGCAAGCATCTGCTTTCCCTTTAGTCAAATGTTCACACACAGTGAAAATTATCTAAACTAGTTCCTGTGTGATATTTGATATCATTTACTTGACAGCTTTCTCTTGCTACGGCTCTTGCCCCTTTGGCTCAAAAAACATTTATATGCCAAACTAACTTGTACAGCAGCCACTTTACAGAGAACAAGCTTCAGTCTGCTAGCATTAGGACTTCTAGGTTGCTATTGTCTTTCATCTGCAAATTACAGTCAATTGCATTCGCTTGCTTTCTGAACAGCCTTTCTTGCTGACACCCTTCTCCCGCTTTCTGTAAAAGAAGCCTTTCCATCCTAGAGCTAGACTGGGCTGTCAGACAGCAGAGCACCTGTAGCTGAGGTGGGATTCAGGAAAAGCAGCAATTTGTGCAATGGCATCTCTCCCTCATTCTTACCTGCATGAAATATTCCTCTAGTAAGCAATCTACCCAGGGCTCTGCCACTTCCATCGGGCGGACTTCATTGGAGATATCACAGCATTTTATCAGTACCATCTTCAGCTGAAAGAGGATAATACTTTAATACTGCAGTCTTATTGCCAGCCCTTTTCCCCCCATCCAGAACCTGTGTCTTTACAACGCAGTGGAAGACAATGTTTTCAAACAGAAAGAACAGTTTTAGGATTAAATCAGAGGACTTAAATGATCTGGATTTTTTTCCACTCTCTCAGTTACCCTGCATAAATCACTTATCCTCTCTCTGCCTCGGTTTCCCTGTCTGTAGCACTGGGATGTGCCACAGTGGGATGTGCCTTTATCTGCTGCATGAAGAGATTCAGCCACAAATGACCATGAAGTTGTTTGTGGAGCACTCAGAGGCAGCTGGGGAGAGGCTTTCCTGGGCGTCAGAGGATGTAGAGGAGACTAGAGTTTGTACTCTTGTGGATAACTTTTTGCCCCACAGTAATGGACAATAAGAATTTGTATCCTGACAGAGTAAATATTTTTTTTTTTCTTGATGGGACTCCAGGATTTCTAAAGCTGGAATAATCTATTTTGTATAGAGCACTTCCAAACTTTAATTCTTTCTGGTGGGGCAGAGGATGTAGGAAGGGTTTGTTTTTGATAAAGTATATTAAATCTTGGTTTTTAAACAAACAAATATTAATCTGCAAGCTTTCACACTATGCACAGAAAAATAATAATCTACAAAACCTCCTTACACAGGTCATGTGTTCTTCATTTGAGTAATCAAAATTTTCCATTTTTTCCTTGAAAGAGTCCAGTATTTCTGCATGTCTCGCCATGTCTGTAGCCAGGATTAACGTAATTATCCCCTAGCAAAGAAAACATGTTCACGTATTAACTTGACGTCCTTAAAAAAGTCTACTCTTGCAGAGCAAAGTGGTGTCTGTCTTATGCAAAAAAAGCCTCAGATGCATTACATTGTTAACACCGAAAGGGGAAGTTTCTGACTTGAAACTGCCAACCAAACTGGAAGAGGCTTATAAAGAGTTCATGCTATATGAAGATCATGGTTGGATCGATCTGTAACACTGGTGTGATATTCCAGAGGCATTGAGGTTTTTCCTTTCTGATTGACTAATTGTGAAAAAATAAAATGTACAACAGGATGTTAAAAGCCACACTCTGTTTGCCAATATCCACTTTTGGCTCCTTGGAAAGCACTATAGGTTTTGCTGCTGACTTTTAGTGGCCCTAGGAAAAGACAAAGGTCAGTAGATGCGGATGTCCTCTGTGCTCATCCTCCTTGGATTAAGGGCTTTGAAATACCCAGATGCAGCCAATGTGTTAGGAGCTCTGTATCCTCCTGCTAGGCAGAGTTTATGATGGGAAAACATGGTTAATTTAAAGTTGTGGGTTTTCATACAGATCTATACATTTTGGGCCCATGCCTGCTTCCCATGCACTGGCCGAATCAGTAACTCCAACCAGAGCAGTATCTGAGCCCTTACATTGGTCTGCTTTTTTATTTGGTGTGTAAGGTGGAAACTAAGACCAAATTTTGGCCCTTAGTGCTCTAATGGGAATAGTAGCATTGTTCAGTCTCAGAGAGAACTGTGATGACTCCCACTCCACCAGAGCCTCTTCCAACAGTACAAGTGCTCTGCTGTTGAAAATCTTTTCCCATTTTGAGGGCCCTCTTAAAATTAATACAGTGTTCTCTTAAAGCATAAACTTCTACCATGAGAGCTTAATCCTTTCCCAGTCAGAGCTAATTGGCTCCTTCAATAATATAAATATCTACCCCCAAAATGTCGTAGGCTTTAATAGTCAGGATGTACTCATTATTTCTCAGCAAGACATTCCAGGGAGTGCTGCTGTGGAAGTTTTCCAAGAGTCCCTCTTGGATCCTTCCAGTGTGAGGGGCTTTTTCAGTGCTACCCTCTAGGGAGAATGATTCACGCGCATTGTACAGCAGGGAAGTCTGTACATGCTTACATCTTCAGGAACAGTTTGTACGACACAGATGGGAGCAGCATTCATACCTGTCTTATCTGTTTGAATTGGTCCTGGTCGACGTTGGAGAAAATGTTGTATTCTGGCTGGGAAATGATCTGGAAAGCCACAGCACAGTGGTGGTTCTCCAGTGGGGAGATGTCATTGTAGCGTACCGCAAGCTCAGTTCGTGCATTTATCTGATAGCTGATGTGAAGAAAAACAATGAGAACTCCTGCAGACACACACCAGCTGCTCTAAACCATGCTGCTTACTTTTATTTACATTCTTTTCAATACTTATTCAATTAGCTCCAGTTTGATTTTTGATTGTTAATACTAAATCAGATTTTTAGAGAAGATAGCTACTACTTTAGTATCATCTCAGGCACTATTCCCCTGTAGGGTGTTTTTTAAATTTTACCAAATCTCTGTAGCATAAAATGACATTGAACAAACACAGAAGGAACTGTCTGGGCTTCATTGAACCCCACTAATGTCAGTGGAGAGAGTCTCACTGATCCCTGTCAGGATTGGGTTCTGCCCTTATTTATCAATGGCTACAAATAGATTTGTATCTCTTGCTCTCTTTTTCATACACATGCACATGCACAAAAAAGTGTCCATGGGTCAACCATTCTCATTTCCTCACATGATAATAAATAAAATAATATGCACTTGATGATTTATAATTATGAAATAATATGTAACTTAAATCACCCTTTGCATTTTAGTGTAATTATTCCATTTCATTCAATGGAGCTATAATAATTTATGGCCTCTCTGTCAGCTGTAAAACATTTTACCGTGTTTTCTCAGGAGTGGGGGAAAGTGTTGGAATAGAAATCTGAAAAAATATTTTCCTTACAGAGCCAAGGACAGCTGGCAACCCCAACCCAGACCTGAGTTTTCTGCATGAAGCTCTGCCTTGGCCCATATGTGAGTGAACAGCAGGGCCTTGGGGGAAGGTTGTGGCCAGCTCAAGCTGTGAGAAGGAAAACCTGATCTACCAAAAATGCCAGGTGGCATTACTTTCCCAATAAATTTTAAGGGAAGAGAAAGCGAGAGACAGACTTACGTATTGTTATAGCCTGGATGGTCCAAGTCATGGCATACTGCGGCAGTCATGAGAATCAAGATGTCAATTTGGGAAAATTTCTCCTGTAAAATACAAAACATTAATGTAGTATTATGATTTCTACTTCCCCTATCCCCAGAAATGAAAAGAAGTGAAAAAACCACCCACATTTGCTTTTTAGAGAAACGCAAATCTGAGCAAAATGAAGTATTTTTCCATAGATCAATTTTCTTCAGTCAAGAAAGAGAATTCTGCCTTCCCTTCCAGTAAAAATGACTCAGATTTGCCTTTGTTGCATTAAATAACAGCAACTCAGAGGAGGCAATTTGCTTGAAACTTGCTATTACTGCAGAGATCATATAAAAGCACTGAGATACTAGTACAGCCTCTTACAAGTCATTTGAGCATCCGGATTAGTTAAGGGAGGGCTGGAAGGTAGCTTAGTTGCCATTGCATTCTGCATTAACTAAAGCTATGAAAGAGTGAGAAAAATTGTGTTGCATTCCCACAGCTTCTGAATAGGATGAACTTTCATTAAAGCAAGTCTTTCTTCATACTCTTATTGGCAAGAAAATAGACTTAGGTCAGTAACTGAGATGTTTAACTATGGAGAAGAAAGAGAGTTTTTAACTGAATAAAATCTTGTTCGTACAGAAATTAAATGAATATATAGACACATGTTATCCAGTCAATGAAAATAAATGATGCCTATAGTTTTGGGCAAAGTACAGGTCAAATGTGAATCTTGCATACAGTACATGCAAGGCATTATTTGCACCCAGATGCAAGCACACATTTGGAGAAAACCTTCTGTGGCAACATTTTGTGTCACAGATGAAGACCATATCTGCAGACCATAATTCAGTAGGTTTTTGGATCTAACTCATAAGATGTTTCATGCTATTGGAGTGTCAAAAGATCTTCAGTGTACAAATGTGGGATATCCAGGAGGTGAAGATAGCTCCCAGCAGCCTCACAAAGCTGTGTAGGTGCTTGGGACCCAGCATGGGATGGCTGAGCGGGCAGCCAGAGGTGGAAATGCAACACCTCTCCTCCTCTCCCCAGGGACTGAAGAAGTGAAGCTACTGCTTTGGCTCATCACTTGCTAGCAAGCTGGTGGCCTGGTTTGCAAGAAAAGTGGCACAGGTGTCGTGGTGCTCAGTGGACAAACATGTGCCCCATGATGGAAATGGAGTGATACTATTGAGGTGGGGGGCATACCTGGAGGCTGCAGAGGGAGATCATGCTGTACATCATCTGGGTCACGCAGAAGCAGTGCCGGAAATTATGAAAGGGGTTGTTTCTGTAATTGTCATGAATACACAGCTGCAGAGAGAGGGAATGAAGCTGTAAGAGGCAGGAGAGCTCTTTCTTTATAAAAACATGATTACACACGCTTCCCAGCCTCCCTGGAAGCACTGTATACCCCTACAGGAGTCCTATGGAGCCCGGTATTATTTTCTGCTAGGACAGAGTGACAGCACAAGGCCCTCTGAGGCGCTCTGCCTTCCTGGGGGAGGGTGAGGGATTACTGCCTTTCAAGAATTTGTCAGCAGGTAAAGCTCGCAGCAATTTTTCTCTCTTACCAGCTAGCAATGGGTAAACATCCCAGCACAGCTGCAAGTGCATCTCAGTCTTGAGATAGGACTCTCTGCTCTCATCCTGAATTTGTATTTCAAACTGTGCGGTGGTTAAACGGTGACTTTGGGGTGTGTCAAGAACTCAAAGTACATCCCTGTTCCCCTCTCTCACTGAATGCAAATTGCAGCTTTGAAATCTTCAAGGCTGAAATGTAGCTGTTATTTCATTTGCAAATGCTCAGAGGTGGCACTTTGGGATGTGTTGCTTGGCAAAGTGAAGATGTGAATGCACATGCACTAGCATACCTGTGTGGATTTCCTATGCCAGGCAGCATGGGAGAGATTTAGCCATATAGACACATGGGACTGATTTTTGTGTCTTAACTTTCTACAGATCCTGGCTACGTGCCCTCATTACAAATGCAAGCTAAAGCTTATCTTTCCATGTGTCCTCGCTACTGTCAGCTGGGCAAACTGAGTGAAGCTGGCACAGCTGGGTTAACACATACCACGGTCATTCTTCCAATGCACTGGATAGCCTTTGGAATCCTGTCCTGCACAAAATGGCCAAGCATCAGCAGCACTGCTGGACCCCTTCTGCTGAATCTGCCGTAACCTGGACCCTAGAGAGCCCTTTTGCACATGCTTCAATTACTGAGCCTGAATTAGTGACATGGATGGAATTTGTGTCCCCTTCTCCAGCTAAATAGTGAGTTTACTTCATGATTCCTCAAGACCCATCAGGATCAAACCCTTCAACCTGGGACCTGACTTCTAGGAAGCCCCAAAGCTCTGGATGAGGTCAAGAGAACCGTGGGTTTTCAATGCTTATTCAATATTTGGGGGCCTCATTGCAAAAGCTGTTCATATTATTCTGCAGCAAGGACTTTAGAAATATATTACATTATTTTAAAATGAATAACTAATGGCACAATATGGCTGACAGCCAGGATCACAGGCAGTGGGCAGTATCTCACAGCCTCTGCATGGACACCATGGTCATGCCCAGGCACTGTACAATGTAATGTATACATCCAGCAGTGGAACCCAGAGCATCCCAGGGGACTCCTGACTCAGAGCACTGAAGGGCTGGAGTGACTATATTAGTCATCCTTTCCTCCCCTTTCTGGAACATTTCTGTAGCCAGTGGATGTGGGAGCAAGAAAGCAAGCATATGCATGAGGTGGCTTTTTCTCACCCGCTTAAGTTCAAACTGGTGCCCGTACTGTGCCTGGGGAGGTATCATAGTTTGAAGTAGAGTCCTTGGGGCTGGCTTTCTGCAAAGCTAGCATTTAAGAAAGGAAATCTCACCCTGTCTTACCTTTGTAGAAAATACCTAATAAACTCCCCTTGTCGTTCAGAACGAGGCTGTCTTAAATGCTAGCGGTAACAAATTACTTGGAGATACAAGCTAACAGGAACCTGCCTGCATATGTGGGTGGCATGTTGATGTGTGTTGACATATTACCTTGTTTCCCATGTTTTCAGGCTGTGAGACAGGAGGAGGAAATTTTCTGTTTTATCTACTCTGTGCTAGCCTTGATGGTATTGGGTGTCATCCCATCCCTTCTGTTCAGCTGCTTTCTAAGGTCAACAATACTGAGCTTTTCATCTGCCTTCTTTGGGGAGGGATTTCCTAGGTCTTGATCATTTTTTATATCTCCTTTAATGTAGTCATACCATTTTTCTAAAAAGGCTTAACCAGTCCCAGGCATAATTCCAGGTAAGCCTTATGCCTTCTATGGAGACATGGTAACAATGGTCCATTTTATCCTTTATTCCAGTCTCCGATCAACTGAATGCCTTGTTAGCTTCAGCCGGCAGCAGCACACTGAGCAGTGACAGTCACTGCCCTGCCTATGCTGGTGCCCAGGTGCTTTTTGCTCTTGCTGTACTTCACGATATGATGAATGCAGTATTTTTCTTTGTGTTTTCTAGCCACCTTCTGAATTTGTGGAATTTGTTTAGGCCTTTCTAGGAGTCTACATCAATCATGTAAAACAGTTCCTTTTATTCTGTCCATACTCTTCAGGTAATTAGAAGAGATTAGTGAGATATAATTCTTCGCTACAGGAATCATATGAAACATCTGTATAATGAACTTCACATCATGATGTTTTTAATTATCATTTCAATCAATTTGTCAGGTAGAGATGTAAGTTTTTCTAACCATAATTCTTCAGGGTATCCCTAGATCCTTTTTAAACAATGGGTAAAATATTTACTGTTCTAGTATTTATTGTTCTATGGTCCTCTAGGAACATGATGGGTTTTTCTGAGAAAGCCAATATATTCTTCAGCTTTTCAGCAAATTCTTTCTTATGCTCTCCTTTGGACCTCATAACTTACTGACTTTTAAATACTCCAGTGTTTCTTCTTTAGACATCTCAGTTTTGGTATGATCTCATCTTTATCGTGTCTTGCATCTCTGCAACATTCTCAACATTAAAGACCAAGGCAAAGAAAGTTATTTAACTTCTCAGCAATTTCTTTTCCTTCCTGCCTTGCTCTTTTACTCCCTGTGATTTAGGACATCTAATGATTATTGCACATACTGGCTTTTTTTGGCCATAACTGAAGACACTCATCTTGTCTCCATTTACAGTAGGTACCAAGAGCATTCACCAGAAATTAACTGCTTTCAGGAATAGAAAGCTCAGCAAACAAATGTAAAACAGTTTAAAAAAAGTCATGTTACCTCAAGAATGCAAACATTTGCTGAAGTACTTATATTTTAGGAATTTGTATAGATTGACTGCTTTCAGTGGGATTACTCATGTGAGTCAAGTTAATTCCATGACTAAATGTTTTGTTTATTGATTTTTGAATTTGAAAAATTGCAAATATCAGGAACTTGAAATACTTACCAACCACCTCTTTAACGTGATAGGATTGATGTTGAAGTCTTTTACCAACCCAAGGTCATGGTACATATGTTCCAAACAACTCAGCATCTGCAGCCAGGAACAGACAGGTTATTGGCTTAGTAAATGTCACTTTACTGTATGATACATTGCAAAGTGAATTTCCTCCTTGCAAGCATCGAATAATTGCAGAGCCCTCTTGTTAAGATGAAAGAAAGATGTTCAAAGATTGCATGATTAAAGACAGTGCAAGAGGGGAGACAGAGAGGTTCTGAAAGCTTCCTGAAGTAGACAGATTGCTGTTGACTTCACAGGTTTTGTGCAGGGCTTTGAATCACACCAGCTCTCCTTAGTAATTGTGATTCATGCATATCATAGCACTTCCTTCTCGTCAAAAAGTATTGCCATTTTTCTAATTCAGCTGGGATATGTTCTAACGCTCAGTGAAATCAGTGTGAGTTTTTCCACTGACTCCAAAGGCCCTAGCTGTACAGAAATGGTTGAGGCCCTAGCTGTATAGAAAATGACAGCAGAAAATAAGAGATGCTTAAAGAAATATTTATTCTAGATACATGTCAATATCTTCTTTCTTGATGACTTCTCATGAGATAACTCCTCTATCTTAACTCGGATTTGTTTTTCAACAAAAGATCTCCCATTATAACCCTAAAAAATTGCAGCAGGCTTGTGACGATCCACTCCCGTAAACTGTGACTGTGAATCCCAATAGCTGAAATGCAAAGGCAGGCTGGTCTTTTGAGACAACAGCTACTCAGAGGTAGGAAGGGGGGATGCAGACAGTTTAGCACTACCACCCAGTTAATCTGCTGGGTTTGAAAATATTGCAGAAGAAAGGTATTGATAATCTGATGTGTTTGGGCACTTAACAGCTGCCACCAGTCAGAAATGAACAGGCCTCCAGGAGTTCAGGACTTTATGTATCTGCATTCCCACTTCTGAAAGCAAAATCTGCAGGGGATGAAATGTAGCCATTATATTAGCAGATGCAGTTTTTAGACTGTGGACTGATCCAGGGGTTTTAACATGATGAGTATAATGTCACAAATATGGCCTTGGAGGCATTTTTAGTTAGGTTTCTGTTATTTAGACTCTTAAAAGCTCTCCAGAAGAATGATTTCATCTAACGAAACTTTGTATTTATCCAGGGAATGTACAGAGTTCATGCAGTAACAAGGGGGCTGGTTTTGAGTCATCCAAATAGGAAGAAAGAGACTTTCCTGCAAGATTGAGGGACAATGTCACGCGCTGAACTGTGCCCAGATCACATGGACAGCATTTTGCTGTAGACCACCTTGTTTTGTTCCTAGTCCCTGAGGTAGAATATATGGTTTGCCGTAGTTTCAGAAAAGACTTTCCGAGACAATAAACTTGATCCAAAAGGGTTGAACTACCCTCAGAATTGCCCATCTCCCTCCAGCTGTTGCCAAGAGAGCTTTGGGTGAGTGGCAGGGTGACTCTGAGTCCCAAAGCTCCCGCCCCTGAACACATGAGGATCTCAGTTTTCATTTTTAGCTTTCTCGGTCAACAGCAAAAGCTTGAATATTGGACTCTTCTAAGGCTTGAAAGTGAGTGGGCATTTGAGAAAGAGAACGCAAGCTTGCTGCATAGCTGTGTTTACTGAGATGCTGCAGAGCACATTATTAATTTACTTACAGAAGACTATGGTCTATAACCTGCCTGCCCCACATTGAGCACGTGGGTAAATGCTCATTGCTAAGCAAGCATTGACAGAACTGAAATATTCTCTGTAAACATAAAGCAGAGCTAAAAAGGGTGAGATAAACCCATATGGCGCTTGGCTCACTAGAGCTTGTGTGGTATCTTAATTCTGAGCAGCAGTCCTCCTTGCAGGGCATGTCTAATTGCCGCACCCTCTTGTTAGCCTCCTTCGTGCCACCACATAGTGTTTCCTAGTACTCTGAATGAGTTACTGTGCTAAAATACTATGCCTCAGCACACAAGAATCCGTGGATAATGGTTTTTGTCTCTCCCTATTCTTTCTTAATAGTCGGAACAACAATGAGCCAACAGTGTTATGGTCCACCTGACAGGTCGTAATTCTCTCTCGCTGTAAAGACCTGACAGGCATTCAAAAGCCGGGGGTGAGCCATTTTGCCAGAGCAGTTGTATGGCCATGGTACAGAGAAAAGGGGCTGGAGAGGGAGCAGTAACTGCAGAGCACCAGCCTCAGCTTGGCAGGGACTGCACAAGGGAAGCTCTGCCAACCTCGGCGAATGGGAGACGGACATAAAACCGCCAGAGAGTCCTTCTGTTATTCTACCAGCCAGATGAAGTATCCTGAAGGGAATATGCTGTTCCTGTGGGTGCAGTATGGGGTACTTTTCCTTGTCGTGTTGATCTACAGGTGCTGAGCCAGAATGACTCTTGTACGCACAACATCTGATTGAGAAGGTAATTAAGGTGATTGCTGCTGTGGGTACTGCTAGAACTACTGGATCCTTCCCTTGGGAAAAACCCAACACTGAAACCCTACATTAGTCCTGCCCTTCCTTACATTTTTCCGAGGTGATATTTGCTTGTATTTGCTTAATCTAGTTTTACATTTTATTGTAAGCTGGCCATTATGGAAACATCCTTCTGCTTCGTGTTTCTGCAGAGGTTTACACACAGGCCTTCCAGAACCTTCTGCAATACAAATGATGAACAAAGAATAATACTAATAGCAATAAGAAAAATAAGAAAATGAAGCAATAAGAAAATGCCAATAGGCCATGCATGCATGCAGCTTTGCAACCTCTTCAGAATACACCGCAGAAAACCCCTTGCCTAAAAGGCTGTGAATCAATGCATGCATGCCTGCCTGGCTTCACACAGTGGCACACAGTTTCATTGATTTGAGTAGAGTTATTGATGATGTGCTTAAGCATACACTTTGGTAGGTATCGATTTGTTCAGATAAAATGGCATGAGAGAGCTCATGAGGCAGTAATGCTAGTGTACTGGTTGTCGTGGGACGTGACTAGGAAGAGATTAAAGAAAAAATAAAGATGGATCAGGTTATGATAATCAGCATAATCTATCTGGCATCTGTAGGGAAAAAGTACCGTATTCTGGTGTGATATGAAAATAAAAAAGATAGAGCGCTTAAGGGGCAGAAAAGGGGGAAAACCCTGCAGACCATCCCAGAGGGCTCTTCTGGCCTTGTTGGCTCTCAGAAAGAGTGCTAACCCAGCTAACAAGGCATCCTTACCTCGTTGGGCTCCCACAGCCAGACATCGAAGGTTGGTTTCCTCAGCGCTTCTATGGTCTCCTGGGACAGCATGTACTGCAGACAAAAAGGCAGTCAGTGTAAGTGAGGGTCCCTGCCCCGGTGTGGGACCTGCTGTGGGCATGTCCCTGGGACTCCTGGCATGTCTCATTGACACATGACTCATGTTGGCATGTCCCATTCACGCGGGTTTTAGCCATATCTCCCAAAGATAGAGCAACTGATCTCTCCCTCTGCCTGCCCAACTCTTCTTTCCCTCCCCACCAGCTGCTTGTGGTCACACCAGGATGCCCACACCTGGCAGGCAACAAGCCCCCAGGCAGCTCGCTGCCTGCCACAGAACCAGCTGGCAGGCCGCTGATAGGTGGAGATCCTTACGGAGCAGCGACATGGAGGGTTTGGGAGAAAAGGGAGGAGAGCGGAGGTGTTATGGATGGGGTTGCAGGTAGATCCAGCAAGGGGCTGTAAGGGGCACAGGGCACAGATCCATCCCTGGCTGCACTGGTTCTGCTGCCTGCAGAGCACCAGCAACATTGAGTGCAGCCAGTCATGGCTGGATGGTGTGACGTGTCTATGCTTATAGCATTAAATTAGCTAGTGGGTATGATATATTTACTTTCAGATGATTTATGCTCTCATTTTGAGTATTTTTTCAAGAATACCCACATTTTCAAATTGGTTTTCAGCCTGCAATATTCAAGTGATCTTTTATCGTTATGCTCAGAGGCTTAAAACAAAATCAAGCTCATCGGCCAGTTATGATTTGTATACAAAACAAAACAAAAAAAAAGGAATGTAGGGGGTTAAAAGACCAGGGGAGGTCTGGACTACCGAATCATATTTTCGAGGCTCTATTGATCAGAGTCTTTCTGGGACACAAATCCCTTGTAGCTTTAATTGGCCTGTTTACCATGGCTGTCTCTAATTAGTTTGGGCTTGCTGTACTGAGCTGGTGAATGAAATTTTCTGAGCCATCAAGTTGTTGATACTTAATCCAAAGAAGAATAACACTGAAGATTAATTTTCCTTCTTGAGAAGGCAATGATTTTTGCATTTGCCTGTATAATGTACATTTGATATGATGTTCTGCAAGAAATCTGTGAATTAGCAGTACAGATTTGTTATTTGATAACAGTGTTGTAATGACATCTTCTTTCAGTGTACTCATCACTTCCTAGCCTCACTGACATTGGACAAATCCAGCACTTGACAAATGATAACAAATTTTGTAAATCTGTCAATCAGAACCCAAACTTCTGAAACCAAAACTCCTATGAGCTTTGGTCTAGGGACAACACAGACTACCAGTTTACTCTGCAGTCAGTCAGTACAACTCTTCGTTGTACTTGTTGTTAATTCAAGATCTTAATATCATAGCAGTAGATCAAAGGTTGACCTCACATATATATTTATCAAGGGAAAAAATAATGTTTAGAACTGACACATTTTGCAAAAACATGTGTCAGTGTCAGGAGCGCAAGTTAATTAAAAGAAATGTAAGTCTCATGATGTCTGCTTCAGAGACCTAGAGGTCACTTTTGCTAGGCAGAGCAGAATAAACAGCAGAACTTACAATCTGTTGCTCTATAAGGCCCCGAAGACAAATATGCCAGGATGCATGTCCATATCACACACCTGCATCACACCGGACCACGTGAACTTGAGAGCAGCTCAGCCAGCTTTGATGTGTGCAGGCAAATGCCCACTGTTAAACTATGATTTGCATGTGTGTGAGCTGGTGTTTTGTCAAGGCGTGAGCCGGGCACTGAGCAGACGTAACCTGGTAGCTTTGAATAATTCCTGTGCGCAAAGACGGTTGGTGCTAGGACCAAGGATCCTGTGTATTTCATGGTTTCAGCCTCATTCATCACTGCAGATTTGTGCTTGTACTTGCCCAGTAGACATTTTTCTTCAAGCATTACTGTTTTCTCTAGCAAATGCACTAACTTATTTTCACAGGGACAATGAATCATTCTGGAGAGAATCCAATGTCGCATTTTCTCTTTGTTTCCCTAGGTGAAGCATCTCCATAAATTACTTTTTAAATTAAAAAATAATCCATTAGGAGAAAACAGGCAGCGACACTATTTTCAATTGGGATACAACATTATAGGCTATTTTTGATTGTTTGCTACGAGCATGGAGAATAAACAATCATAATTAGACAAAAAAACGTTAAATGTTGATGAATGCAAAATGTTCATTAGCATTTCAAACACTAATGAGCTTTCAAGTATTAAAGACTACTGAGGATCCAACTTCAAGCCACCACAGGCAATGACAGCTTTTTCCATCGGCTTCCAGGGATTTTGGATCAGGCCCTGGGTTTAGAATAACTAGGAGGTAGATGGCTAGGGAATCATGCGTTGTAAACTAGCACTTGTCAGGATGGCAAGCGCATGGTAGGATTCTGGGAAGAGCAAGCATTGTGTGGTACCTTTGGGTAGGATGGTACATCCCGCCGGGGAGTCGGCCTCTTGTTCTCATCCAAAAAGCTGTACTTGCAGGGACAGTTAGTCCTGAAATGAAACATTCCGTGCTTAATGTTGTGGGAATAGAACTGCAGTGCCTTGAAAAATGCCCGAAGTACTCTGGTCTCTCGGGAGGCATCACTCGGAGAATTACCCCAGTCCCTAACCTCTCCCTTTCTAATGTGGTGTTGCTCAAATGTTTTAAAAGTGTGATCCTCATCAGGATTTTCTCCCTTTGTGCAATACTCCTGTCACCCATTCTCCATCTATTTGAATTCAAGCAAAGAGCATCTGTCTTCAGAGAAGTATCCATGGATACCCAATCACTTCTATTTAAACCAAGTAACTTTCCTCTCTGCGAGCAGCTTGCTGTCTGTGGCGGGCATAGTTGGCCGAGGATGGCAGAGCTCTGCCTGGGGCCACGCTGAGTATGGACACTGGCAGGCCTGTGCTTATTTACTAGTGTTGGCACCCACTGAGCCCACGGCTTATTGCAGCCCAGCTCCAGGCCTCCATAAAAGCTTGGGTAAGATGATCCATTTCGATGGCATGACCATCTTGCTTGCTGCCCTTCAGGCAGGACAACAGCAGTGAGGCACAGGCTCAGCAGACACAGTCTGCTTGGCTCCCAGGTCCTGGAGGGAGGGAGCCGCTGCCAGCAATTACAGGTAATTAACTCTTGCCTGGTTATTAACACCAGCACCCACTGCCAATAATCTACTCTTCCTTCCTCTGCATGCAGAAGAGCCAAGCTGATGCTATCCCATCTGAGCAGAGGACCATGACGCCAGCCTTTCAACCTTTGCAGAACATCTAGGTTGCTGCGTTGCAGTGCAAGAGCAGTTTCTTGCCTTACAGCCACGGGGGACGCAATAAAACTAAGAGCGCTGTGGTATCACCCATGGCAATTGTGATACTTTAATTCAACGTGTGTTTCCCAAGTAGTTGGTCACATGGACTTTAATAACTCTTATGCGATGTTGATCTGCTTGCATTTTGCTTTGATCCCTGTAGTCCTAATGTTTGGATTGTCCTTTCTCATTTTTAAAGCCTCCTGACAAATGAAGCTAAAAGAAACCCCCCAAAGAAGCCAAGCAAAGTATTCCATAAACTTCATTTGTCCCTTTTAAAATTATTTCACATATTCTGTATTGTGTCTCTTTTAGTGCTTCTCTGTTGGGAATTGGTCCGGCTCTTTCCTCCTCTTAACATTGATGTCTGCTATCATTTCTGATGGTGTTGTCTGAATCCTGCAAAAGTTACGTCATCTTATAGTTCATAGTGGTCAGCTGGCTTCAACCAGCTGCCTTTCCCTGCCCTGCTTAAGGAGATTCTCAGTTGGTGGAAAGCTGTCTTAATCGTTTCTAAAGCTGTTTCCTCAAAACACCACTGTGAGGGGTATTAGTAGGATAAAAATAGTGAGATTGGGGCATTCCTTGCCCTAATTGCAACTGGCTGCCAGGGTTAGCTGAGGGTCAGCCAACTATCTGTAATTCCCAGCTGTAGTAAGACATTGAAGCCTTCATCCTATCATACTGGGGAACACACCAGAGCCAGGATGCATCAGGCCTTTACAAATGTATAACTGTATCTGCAAATGATCATGATTTTAAATGACACTATAATGTTATTAGTATCTGTGGTGAGCACAAAAAGCAGACTAGCAAAAAAAAGCAATTTGAGGGGATGCAAGTGGGGCTGCTTTCCTCCTCTGAAGAGAGGAGATGCACAATTCACTGTGTGTGATTACTCTATAAGCTTAGCTGTTCATCCTTACTCTGTTGTTTTTAATGTAACAGCAAATGCAAGAATATGTAAACGTACAAGAAAACAGCTGCATACACTGTGATATTATTGAAGGAATACACGCACTCACACATACTTATATACATTAATTAAATTTAGATGTGATCTCTCATTGCAGCTGTAACACATTACCTAGCAAATGCCATTGCACAAGGGATGACAAGTCTAAATAGGAGCAAAACCATTTCTATTATTTGCCCTGGGATGCCTCTGTCCCCCCCACCAGCATGCACATACCTCACGCCAATGGGAGAAAGCTTGCTCAGCCTCTCTGGGGTGAAGCACCCCAAGGCTGGGGTCACCGTGGGCTAGTGGCATGGCTCCTGTGGAGCCGTGGTCTCTCGGGAATAGGGAACTACAGCTTATTCCTAGCAGCTCCCGATGGGGTCCCTCTTAATGGCCAGCCACCAAGGAGCATCCTCTCCTCACTCTTACAACAAAAACAGGTGACTTGTAGCTACCCCTGGTTATACGCTGAACCTGGCCACATCTAGCTGCTGATTTGAGACCCAAGCCCTTAGGGTACAGATGACCATGGGCAGAATTTTGTGCAAAGAGGAGGAGGTTTTGTGCAGCAGGGAGGAGGAAGACCCATCTCAAGGCAACCAAGAAGAGCTGTGACAGGTGGCTGCCACATGGATACAGCACGAAGTGATGCCGAGCAGAGTGAGTTAGGCTCCTGCTTCAGCTAAAGCAGCTATGCAGTGCAAGCTCAGAGCGATCTAGCTTGGGTGTCTGTGCCCAGCACTACCTGCCGCTGAGCACTGCACCCATTTTTAGCACAGCTTTCCAGCATCACACTCCGTGCCGGTCTCTGGCTTTTGGTGGCTGTCATATCCCACTAGAAGCCCTCAGCAAAGACTGCACCTCAGCTGGAGCTGGCTGCACTGGGCAGATGCAACACTCCCCATTCCTATTTTTCTTGTTAACAGATTGCTGTTTATACTACAAAATATAGATTGCCAGGTGACAAGGTCTGGGACAGGAATGAGTCATGGCTGCTGCTGGGACAGTCTCGTACTTCCTGATGTGTGTGGCGGCAACTGGGTTGCCATAACTTCTTTTTTTTGTTCTAATTCCCTATCTACCTGTGCGTCACTGCGCTTGTAAATGCAGCTCTCCCATCTCCCCACAACAGTTGAAGAAAAGTAAAGACACATGCACAGGCACACACGTTATTCACATCACAGCCGGCACAAATCAGCGTACGTGTTTTTGCGTTTGCTGCCAATTCGAGCTCTGATTTTTCTAATGAGAATTCCTCACACACCTGAACAAGAAATTATGCAAGCCCCAGGGCAAACTGCATCCATCCTACTGGTATAAATCTGGAGCAGATCTGAGGTTAATAATGTTGCTCTGCAATTATGCTAGTATGACAGCTGAATTTGGCCTTAGACTTAACAGGAATGTATTAACACCATGCCTCCTGACATATCTGGATAGCAAAACTTATAAAAGTGAGTGATTATAAAGCCTAATTCTTTTAGCAAGTCTCCCATTGCCCTCAATAGGAAATAGCTTTGATTAAAGGTCAGAGAATTTGACCCCAAATGAAGAAAAAGAGAGAGGCTGTTGAGATAGTTACATTTGATGAGTTACATTTCCCCTTCACCCACACTTTGAGCAATGCAGTATATCCCTCTTCAGCAACCTTCCCAGAAGTATTCATAATCTCACAGTGATGATTTGTTTGTCCTAATGGGGTATTTCAGTGGCACAGGGGGCAGACTTTCCAGCTGAGACCGCATACCGTACAAAATGCAATTTTTTCTGCTGTTGTTTTAATTACAGCGAAACCAAGCTTCACAATCACAGTGAGCCCTTGAATTAGTAAATTCCCAATTTCTTGTTGAAATTGAAATGGATGTTTTATAATAGCATGAGATCATAACTAGAAGAGCTGCCACATGTTTATTTGGCATTTTCCCAGAATATATTGGAGCTGATTCGAGCGTTAGCTGGTTCCCAACCAAACACCACACTTTGCAGAAGTTCTTTTCCCTTTCCCCCTCTCCTAGTAAATCTGGATGAAGAATTCCCATTCTGTATGGTGAAAAATAACGCTCAGTTGCAAGATCTTTTTCTCTGTTCCCGCAGCCTGAGCTGTTTTAACAGATGAATGGCTAATAGATCTTCAAATGTTAAATTAGAGCCACTGTCTTTAATGGTTATTGGTTTCCTTGCTCCTTTACTTCTAAGCCCAGAAGGTAACTCAATTCTGCGGAAACGTTGCATTAGGGTTTGAAACCAGATGCTTATTTCCTTGGTTAGGTCCAAAGCAGAACTTACCTGCTGCTTCTTGCTGCCATTTCCTCCCTCATCTTTTTAATGTCGCTCTTGCATTTCTCAATCTCCACTACTTTCAGGCCTTCCACTGTCAACAAAGGAAAACAACAGGGGTGTTACCATGGTGAAAGTCAAAGGATCTCGTTTCCCAATTGTGCAAAATTTCAAAGGGCTTTAACAGTTCGGTTATCCAGTGAGCCAGCAAGCGGTTACGGTCTGCCCTGGTTCTCACATATGCAGGTGCCGCCAAAGCGATATATCTTGAAAACCCATAGGAATTGTCTACTGCCAATTTTAGATAATAGCTACAGTATTTTCATTCACAGAACAGCTATAACGTCTCAGCTTTTCCACGATTGTTAGCAGCAGTCAGCTGCGATGCCTTCACTTCTCTGCTGTAGAATACGAATCAAAGGAAATCCTGAGAAAAAAAAAAAACCCTCCCGTGATGGGATGATAAGCGCAGCTAGGCAAACATGTCCCCGTAGGATTAGAATTCCCATTAGGATAAAAGGTTTTAATTTGAAAGTTCATGCAGAGCATTAAGGAGCTCTGAGAGGCATTGCTAGATACAGAGAAACCAAAGTGAGAATGCAGGAGAGAGAGAAATGTTGAAAAGTTTTGCTCTAATGATTGATTTCATTTTTTTTTTTAAGTATTGAAGAGCTGTCACTTTTTGCCAATCAATTTTGTAATCAAAGGTTATTTCTGCATGCAGCACAAAAAATCCTATGTTACCCTTCTGTATGTAATTATGAGAGCCACAAGGCAAAAAGTTTGATACCCTGTTTATGCAGCAATGCACTTCATTCCACATAGCCGTGAGAACCTAACTCAGTGCATGTATGAGAATATTCTCCCTTTTCATTCCCTCTCGTTGAACTATCAGCATGCTCAAGGACATAATGCAGCGCCATTTATTAAGTACATGTCATTCATATGCAATCATTTCACAGCTCATTTGTTTACTGAACTCATTGTTTGCACGGACAAGCTGTGGTTCAGGGAACTCAAGGGAATGTGCAATCATACAATCAGTATTCATTCACTTTCTTAGAAAATAATAGTCAAAATCACACTTATCTGGAGGGTAGCATGTAAGTGATAAAAAACTGCCTTGGAAGGGCACAACTCTGTAGATAAGCAGAGACCTCAGTTTTGTTTTCTTTATGCTAGTATCAGCAAAGATTGCTGTTGGAACTGGGAAAGGGGAAAAACACAGAGGTGTATGAACTGAGTCAAAAATGCCACATATTAGGAGAGGAAAGGGAAAAGGTTTTGATTTACGCTTGATTACAGGGACACCCTCCACTTAAAAATCCCATTTCCAGATTAATATTCTTTTGTCTAGCATTGTTACAAGCAATTTCTTTGGGTGATCATAATGTGATGATACAGGCAAGACCCTGTCCTGCTTATTTAATATCTTCATTCTGGATATCTGGCTGCACTTTTTTGGGTACTCAGTTCAACTGCCAATGATCAGCTGCAGCTGACGTGCATGCCCTGCACTGCTATGCACCACCTCGGTGCATTCATCCAGGAGACTTTCGTGGGTAGCCCACTTGCCAAGCTGCCTAAATGGTGGCCAGTGCCTATTTGAAGCAGTAGGAGCAAAGCAGAGTTATCAGACCAGCAGGGTAGTGGGGCAGGCAACTGCAGAGAGAAGAGGAGTTATGGTGCAAAATGGCAGCCCTGAGCATTTTTTCGTATTGCATCTCTTCAGTTTTCTTCCAAAACCTCTCCAGGGGAGCAGAGAATTTACATAATTATTTTCTTAAAGTAGATGTGAGATGCTTACAAATTGTAAAGGGTTTTTGCCAGCTTCCTCATTCATGTGTGGGCTGCTGCGTGAACACTGGAGCAGAGTAAGTCAAGCCACAGGACAAAGCATTCCCAGTGCTTGCCCTGCGTGCATGCATTTTCCAAGGGGAAGTCACAAGCTTTAGATGGGATCTAAAAATCAGTTAAAAGATTTGGCTCCTTGAAAACACATCTCTGTGATGTGGTTTCTAGACAGTAACAGGAAGGACACTGAGAACATTTTATGTGAGGTGCAGATGTAGTGCTGTCATGAGCACTTATCCCCACACACACATCCCCTCTGGGGAAGAAATCCTGGACATCACATGTGAAAGTGATGGAAAAGGGATCTCCGAACGAGGTAGGAGAAAAGGCAAAACAAAAGCACAATTCTTTTCACATTTGGCTCACAAGTGGTAAATGGCCTTGTCATGTGCACTGATTAAGGGCCCATTATATTATTCTGCAGCAAGAAATACCTTCTGAAAAGACCCTGTGCTGTCTACAGAAATCCTTGGGCTGAATCCAGCACTGAAACACGGCTCTTAAAGCAACTTCTGGGAGCCCAGCTCGAGTAGGGAGGTTGGACATTCCTTTCGCCTCACACTTTTGCTTTTTAAACATGAAAGCCTGGGATTATTTCAAAATGATGCGGATTTGGCTCTGTTGCAAATTCTGGAAGTCCAATTTCGAGCAGATGGGTGCACTTATAGACAGGCAACCCAGGGAGCTCCTTCCCACAGGCTGAGGCTGCCGGAGATGGGATCGTGAGCGCTCAGGCAGAATGGCAGCAGATTGCTACATCTGCTGCTATTTCCATCAGCGGCGAGACCCACTTACAGAAAGAAGCCTCATCTGGGGAGCAGCAAATTCAGTTCACCTGCACAGCACGGCAGCTCTGGGTGTGCTGCCTTCCCTAAACCAGCAATAAATTGCCGGAGAGTGCAAACGCACAACCCTTCCCCGCTGACAGAGGCATGCAAGTCGTTGTTATCTGCCTCCGCTGCCGCGGGCTGCCAGTGCTGAAAGGCAGCGTGTGTGCAGGGTGCAGCCGGGGGTCCCAGGGGGTCATCGGGGAGAGCCGAAAGCAGCCCCTAGCTGGCTGGGGTAGTTGCTTGCCTGGGCTGCCAAGGGGATAGGAAGACCCACAGGAACGCTTGCCTCATTTGCTCTAGTCCATGGCACTTAGCCCTGAGGACTGGAGTTGGCCAGAAGTTTCACAGAAAATGCGGAGTGACTGAGCTAATTTTTCTTCTTTTTTTCCCTTTCTTTTTTTTTTTTCTTTTGGACAAAAGAATAAATCAGTGGAGCCGCGGGTAAACTGTAGCCAAGCAGACTGGGAGGGATTGCTACCCCGGCTCCTTGCAGAGGCCTGTGCCGGGGGTAGGCAGGACGCAGGCGGCCGCCCCTCCATGGACGTTGCCCACCGCGCCGGGAGCCTGCGGCTGGGGTGGCCTCTGGGAGAGGCTCCCCCACAGCTGCTCTTTGCATAAGGACATTTTCTCCTCTCCCTGCTGACAAAGGCATCAGTCTCACGGAGCAGCTGCAGGGTCAAGGTGGCTTCTGGTCAGGGGAAATGTCAAGAAAACAACTTCTTCCATGAACCAGAAACTTTTTTTTCTTTTTCCAGTCAGCTCTAGTGAGAAAGTGCTTGCTGCAGCTGTGATGCCGGGGAAGACTCTGCCCGCTCCTGACTTAAATGCTGTGTATCAGCGAGGACGTGGCCTTTGGTGTCAAAACTGTGCTGTGCGACAGTACCTTATTCATACCCCTTCTCTGCCTTTCTGGGGTCTCTTCTGCATAATATACTGAAATATAACGTCAGATGCTGCATGGGGGTTAAAAAAAATAAAAAACCAAAACCAGAAAAGGAGCTCTTTGACCAGATGAACTTAACTTGGTTGTTGCACGGTAACTGAATGCGGTTGTGTTACTGTTAACACACTGAACAAGCAAGGAAATTGATGCTTCCTAGTAGTCTGCCAGGCAATATGGCCAGCAAGGGGTGAACCCCCGTGTTTGCAGCCCAGAAATTACTGCCTCGCAGGACAACGAGGTGTACCCTCTGGCTGTACTTGAGCACTTGCTATGCCACCCGTTCATGGACGCTTCAGCGTTCACGCTGTATTTGTGCTGCACGTGTTGCATGCATGCGTGCTGCGGGGAAAGGGCCTCACCCCGTTTCGGGCCCTTTCCCGGCAAAGGGAGGTGCGCGACATGACACTTAGCAGAAATACAGTCAGGTCTCAGCGCTGGCGCTGCGCCTCGGTCAGCAGTGAGGATCGACCCGACTGCTTAATACGCAGTAAACGCATTTCTGAAAGCAGAAAGTCTCTCCGCAAGACACCGTGTTTGACCTGTGCAAATATCTGACTTCAAGTAGAAGGAAGGCAGCTGCTGCACCCTCCTTTAATTAGTTAGAAAATGCAGCGGGGAGCGCTAGGGCCCGGGTGTGTTAGGGGGGCTGTGTTTTGCAGAGAGTGCCCGTGCAGAGGCATGGGGGGGCCACTGCTGGGTGCAGGGGAGGTGACGGGGATGGGGTTGGGGCACGAGGGGATGCGGGAGGGCAGGCCAGGGGGTTTGGAGGTTGGGGACAGGGAGGTGGGCGGCGGAG